GGGGTTTGTGTTGAGGGAGCTGTGCTGGGGTTTGTGTTGAGGGTGCTGTGCTGGGGTTTGTGTTGAGGGTGCTGTGCTGGGGTTATGTTGAGGGTGCTGTGCTGGGGTTTGTGTTGAGGGTGCTGTGCTGGGGTTTATGTTGAGGGTGCTGTGCTGGGGTTTATGTTGCGGGTGCTGTGCTGGGTTGTTTGTGTTGAGGGTGCTGTGCTGGGGCTTGTGTTGAGGGTGCTGTGCTGGGGTTTGTGTTGAGGGTGCTGTGCTGGGGTTTGTGTTGAGGGTGCTGTGCTGGGGTTTGTGTTGAGGGTGCTGTGCTGGGGTTTGTGTTGAGGGTGCTGTGCTGGGGTTTATGTTGAGGGTGCTGTGCTGGGGTTTGTGTTGAGGGTGCTGTGCTGGGGTTTGTGTTGAGGGTGCTGTGCTGGGGTTTGTGTTGAGGGTGCTGTGCTGGGGTTTGTGTTGAGGGTGCTGTGCTGGGGTTTGTGTTGAGGGTGCTGTGCTGGGGTTTGTGTTGAGGGTGCTGTGCTTGGGGTTGTGCTGTGTTTGAGGGTGCTGTGCTGGGGTTTGTGGAGGGTGCTGTGCTGGGGTTTGTGTTGAGGGTGCTGTGCTGGGGTTTGTGTTGAGGGTGCTGTGCTGGGGTTTGTGTTGAGGGTACTGTGCTGGGGTTTTGAGGGTGTGTGCTGGGGTTTGTGTTGAGGGTGCTGTGCTGGGTTTGCTGTGTTGAGGGTGTTGTGTTGAGGGTGCTGTGCTGGGGTTTGTGTTGAGGGTGCTGTGCTGGGGTTTGTGTTGAGGGTGCTGTGCTGGGGTTGTGTTGAGGGTGCTGTGCTGGGGTTGTGTTGAGGGTGCTGTGCTGGGGTTTGTGTTGAGGGTGCTGTGCTGGGGTTTATGTTGAGGGTGCTTGTGGGGTTGAGGGTGCTGTGCTGGGGTTTGTGTTGAGGGAGCTGTGCTGGGGTTGTGTTGAGGGTGCTGTGCTGGGGTTTGTGTTGAGGGTGCTGTGCTGGGGTTTGTGTTGAGGGTGCTGTGCTGGGGTTTGTGTTGAGGGTGCTGTGCTGGGGTTTGTGTTGAGGGTGCTGTGCTGGGGTTTGTGTTGAGGGTGCTGTGCTGGGGTTTGTGTTGAGGGTGCTGTGCTGGGGTTTGTGTTGAGGGTGCTGTGCTGGGGTGTTGAGGGTGCTGTGCTGGGGTTTTGTGTTGAGGGTGCTGTGCTGGGGTTGTGTGTTGAGGGGGTTTGTGTTGTGCTGTGGGGGTTTGTGTTGAGGGTGCTGTGCTGGGGTTTGTGTTGAGGGAGCTGTGCTGGGGTTTGTGTTGAGGGCTGGGGTTATGTTGCTGTGCTGGGGTTTGTGTTGAGGGTGCTGTGCTGGGGTTTGTGTTGAGGGTGCTGTGCTGGGGTTTGTGTTGAGGGTGCTGTGCTGGGGTTTGTGTTGAGGGTGCTGTGCTGGGGTTATGTTGAGGGTGCTGTGCTGGGGTTTGTGTTGAGGGTGCTGTGCTGGGGTTTGTGTTGAGGGTGCTGTGCTGGGGTTTGTGTTGAGGGTGCTGTGCTGGGGTTTGTGTTGAGGGTGCTGTGCTGGGGTTTATGTTGAGGGTGCTGTGCTGGGGTTTGTGTTGAGGGTGCTGTGTTGGGGTTTGTGTTGAGGGTGCTGTGCTGGGGTTTGTGTTGAGGGTGCTGTGCTGGGGTTTGTGTTGAGGGTGCTGTGCTGGGGTTTGTGTTGAGGGAGCTGTGCTGGGGTTTGTGTTGAGGGAGCTGTGCTGGGGTTTGTGTTGAGGGTGCTGTGCTGGGGTTTGTGTTGAGGGTGCTGTGCTGGGGTTTGTGTTGAGGGTGCTGTGCTGGGGTTTGTGTTGAGGGTGCTGTGCTGGGGTTTGTGTTGAGGGTGCTGTGCTGGGGTTTGTGTTGAGGGTGCTGTGCTGGGGTTTGTGTTGAGGGTGCTGTGCTGGGGTTTGTGTTGAGGGTGCTGTGCTGGGGTTTGTGTTGAGGGTGCTGTGCTGGGGTTTGTGTTGAGGGTGCTGTGCTGGGGTTGTGTTGAGGGTATCATGGATATGATACCAACATCAAATCATATATCAGACGTCGCCCTATCCCCACTAGATTTTGAAGAAGCCATAAACAGTATGCCTATGCACTCTGCACCAGGCCCGGATTCTTGGAACTCCATATTCATTAAGAACTGTAAAAAACCACTATCGCAGGCCCTTCACATTCTGTGGAGACAAAGCCTAGATACTGGCGTTATCCCTGACATACTAAAAACAGCTGAGATAGCACCACTCCATAAAGGAGGAAATAAGGCAGAGGCAAAAAATTACAGACCGATAGCACTAACATCGCACATCATAAAATTTTTTTGAGAGAGTGCTAAAAAGTAAGATCACAAAATACATGGAATCACAGCATCTCCATAACCCCGGACAACATGGTTTCAGAACAGGGCGCTCTTGCCTGTCGCAGTTGCTGGACCACTATGATATGGCATTAGATGCTATGGAAGACAAACAAAACGCTGATGTAATTTACACAGAATTCGCAAAAGATTTTGATAAATGTGACTATGGTGTTATTGCACATAAAATGCGTGCAAAAGGAATTACCGGAAAAATAGGCAGATGGATCTACAATTTCCTGACTGACAGAACCCAATGTGTAATAGTCAACAAAATAAAATCCAGCCCATCAACCCTGAAGAGCTCAGTCCCCCAGGGTACTGTGCTTGCTCCAGTACTTTTTCTCATCCTCATATCGGACATAGACCAGAACACAACCTATAGCACTGTATCATCCTTTGCAGATGACACTAGGATTTTTCATGAGAGTTGGCAACATAGAGGACACGGCAAACCTCCAATCAGATGTAGATCAGGTCTTTCTATGGGCTACAGAAAATAATATGGTGTTCAACGAGGATAAGTTTCAGCTCATGCGCTACGGAAAAATTGAAAATATAAAAACAGAAACCACGTACAAAACTTAGGCAAATCATAACATAGAACGAAAAGGCAATGTAAAGGACCTGGGTGTACTCATGTCGGAAGACCTTACCTCTAAAGAACACAATAAAGTAGCCGTCACAACTGCAAGAAAAATGACAGGTTGGATAACAAGAACTTTTCACACTAGAGATGCTATACCGATGATGATACTTTTCAAACGCTTGTGCTCTTTAGAGTGGAGTACTGCTGCACAATGACAGCCCCTTTCAAAGCTGGAGAAATTGCTGACCTGGAGAGCGTGCAGAGATCCTTTACTGCTAGAATCCACTCAGTAAAACATCTAAATTACTGGGACCGACTAAAGAGCCTAAATCTGTACTCCCTTGAGCACAGGCGGGAAAGATACATAATAATTTACACGTGGAAAATAATTGAGGGGCTGGTCCCAAACCTGCACACAGAAATAACACCACATGAGACCAGAAGACATGGCAGGATGTGCAGAATACCCCCGTTGAAAAGCAGAGGTGCAACAGGTACTCTGAGAGAGAACTCTATCAACATCAGAGGCCCGAGACTGTTCAACACGCTTCCACCACACATAAGGGGCATAACTGGCAAACCCCTCACAGTGTTCAAGAGAGAACTGGATAAGCACCTCCAAAGGATACCTGATCAACCAGGCTGTGACTCATACGTCAGGCTGCGAGCAGCCGCGTCTAACAGCCTGGTTGATCAGTCCAGCAACCAGGAGGCCTGGTCGACGACCGGGCCGCGGGGACACTAAGCCCGGGAAGCACCTCAAGGTAGGGTGCTGTGCTGGGGCTTGTGTTGAGGGTGCTGTGCTGGGGTTTGTGTTGAGGGTGCTGTGCTGGGGTTTGTGTTGAGGGTGCTGTGCTGGGGTTGTGTTGAGGGTGCTGTGCTGGGGTTTGTGTTGAGGGTGCTGTGCTGGGGTTGTGTTGAGGGTGCTGTGCTGGGGTTTGTGTTGAGGGTGCTGTGCTGGGGTTTGTGTTGAGGGTGCTGTGCTGGGGTTTGTGTTGAGGGTGCTGCGCTGGGGTTTGTGTTGAGGGAGCTGTGCTGGGGGTTTGTGTTGAGGGTGCTGTGCTGGGGTTGTGTTGAGGGTGCTGTGCTGGGGTTTGTGTTGAGGGAGCTGTGCTGGGGTTTGTGTTGAGGGAGCTGTGCTGGGGTTTGTGTTGAGGGAGCTGGGGTGCTGGGGCTTGTGTTGAGGGTGCTGTGCTGGGGCTTGTGTTGAGGGTGCTGTGCTGGGGCTTGTGTTGAGGGTGCTGTGCTGGGGCTTGTGTTGAGGGTGCTGTGCTGGGGCTTGTGTTGAGGGTGCTGTGCTGGGGTTTGTGTTGAGGTGCTGTGCTGGGGTTTGTGTTGAGGGTGCTGTGCTGGGGTTTGTGTTGAGGGTGCTGTGCTGGGGTTTGTGTTGAGGGTGCTGTGCTGGGGCTTGTGTTGAGGGTACTGTGCTGGGGTTTGTGTTGAGGGAGCTTCAATATTGTACGAGTTTTGGTATATTTTGCTGTTTAATTAATTTGAATTGTTTCAGTCAACTCTATTGATTTGCAGTGTTCATGCTTATGTTTCCCGCGGTGCTGGGTTTCCATTGTTCATGTAACATGTTGCTTGGTTTATATTCTGTAAAAATGTTTGTTATTTTACACATTAAAGAGAATAAAAATTCCTCAGTATTTACCGTAGAAATACAGCAATTCGTGTCATTTCTCATACCTCTGGCAAATATGTACACCACTTTTCAACATCATAGTTATTGTTTTTGTATATCGACTAGTGTGATTTAGATCATATTCCAGACTGATCGTTATGAACAACATTTTCACCAGAGGTATCATTATGTACTGTTTAGGGATAATTTGTATATATATATCATTATTTTATGCTCAGTTTCAATGAATTAAAATTATGTAGATTACATTTCAATTTTAAAATCATAGCCTATGATTGAAAAAATATAATGTAATTTATATAATTTTAATTCCCTGAAGCCAAGCACATGCTTTTATTTTAAATTTAGAATGAATTTTGCACAAGTGTAGTTAACCAACACGACACATTGTGCCACAGTGATGCGAGGACTGGAGGAGACAACTGTGGTGGTGATGGTGGTGGTGGTGGTGGCCGTCACCCGCGCCCAGTGGGACCCCCACCTCACCAACGGTCAGGTCAGTACAGACATCTTTGTCCTGTGGACCACAATAGGCACAGCACATGTTTCTTTATTATACTCCTATATTAGTTCGTCTCTCTCTCTCTGAGTCTCTAAACACAACCTCAACAGTCTCCCTGGCACTACCACCACAGTCTCCCTGGCACTACCACCACAGTCTCCCTGGCACTACCACCACAGTCTCCCTAGCACTACCACCACAGTCTCCCTAGCACTACCACCACAGTCTCCCTAGCACTACCACCACAGTCTCCCTATCACTACCACCACAGTCTCCCTATCACTACCACCACAGTCTCCCTAGCACTACCACCACAGTCTCCCTATCACTACCACCACAGTCTCCCTAACACTACCACCACAGTCTCCCTAGCACTACCACCACAGTCTCCCTAACACTACCACCACAGTCTCCCTATCACTACCACCACAGTCTCCCTAGCACTACCACCACAGTCTCCCTAGCACTACCACCACAGTCTCCCTAACACTACCACCACAGTCTCCCTAGCACTACCACCACAGTCTCCCTAACACTACCACCACAGTCTCCCTAACACTACCACCACAGTCTCCCTGGCACTACCACCACAGTCTCCCTAGCAACACCACCACAGTCTCCCTAGCAACACCACCACAGTCTCCCTAACAACACCACCACAGTCTCCCTAGCAACACCACCACAGTCTCCCTAGCAACACCACCACAGTCTCCCTAGCAACACCACCACAGTCTCCCTAGCAACACCACCACAGTCTCCCTAGCACTACCACCACAGTCTCCCTAGCAACACCACCACAGTCTCCCTAGCAACACCACCACAGTCTCCCTAGCAACACCACCACAGTCTCCCTAACACTACCACCACAGTCTCCCTGGCACTACCACCACAGTCTCCCTAACACTACCACAGTCTCCCTAGCACTACCACCACAGTCTCCCTAACACTACCACCACAGTCTCCCTGGCACTACCACAGTCTCCCTAACACTACCACCACAGTCTCCCTGGCACTACCACCACAGTCTCCCTAGCACTACCACCACAGTCTCCCTAACACTACCACACAGTCTCCCTGGCACTACCACAGTCTCCCTAGCAACACCACCACAGTCTCCCTAACACTACCACACAGTCTCCCTAACACTACCACAGTCTCCCTAGCACACCACCACAGTCTCCCTAACACTACCACACAGTCTCCCTAACACTACCACAGTCTCCCTAGCAACACCACCACAGTCTCCCTAACACTACCCACAGTCTCCTGGCACTACCACAGTCTCCCTAGCAACACCACACAGTCTCCCTAACACTACCACACAGTCTCCCTAACACTACCACAGTCTCCCTAGCAACACCACCACAGTCTCCCTAACACTACCACACAGTCTCCCTGCACTACCACAGTCTCCCTAGCAACACCACCACAGTCTCCCTAACACTACCACACAGTCTCCCTAACACTACCACAGTCTCCCTAGCAACACCACCACAGTCTCCCTAGCACTACCACACAGTCTCCCTGGCACTACCACAGTCTCCCTAGCAACACCACCACAGTCTCCCTAACACTACCACACAGTCTCCCTAACACTACCACAGTCTCCCTAGCAACACCACCACAGTCTCCCTAACACTACTACACAGTCTCCTAACACTACCACAGTCTCCCTAGCAACACCACCACAGTCTCCCTAACACTACCACACAGTCTCCCTGGCACTACCACAGTCTCCCTAGCAACACCACCACAGTCTCCCTAACACTACCACACAGTCTCCCTAACACTACCACAGTCTCCCTAGCACACCACCACAGTCTCCCTAACACTACCACACAGTCTCCCTGGCACTACCACAGTCTCCCTAGCAACACCACCACAGTCTCCCTAACACTACCACCACAGTCTCCCTAACACTACCACAGTCTCCCTACAACACCACCACAGTCTCCCTAACACTACCACCACAGTCTCCCTACTACCACAGTCTCCCTAGCAACACCACCACAGTCTCCCAACACTACCACACAGTCTCCCTGGCACTACCACCACAGTCTCCCTAACACCACCACAGTCTCCCTAACACCACCACAGTCTCCCTAGCAACACCACCACAGTCTCCCTAACACTACCACCACAGTCTCCCTAGCACTACCACCACAGTCTCCCTAACACTACCACACAGTCTCCCTGGCACTACCACCACAGTCTCCCTAACACCACCACAGTCTCCCTAACACCACCACAGTCTCCCTAACACCACCACAGTCTCCCTAGCACTACCACCACAGTCTCCCTAACACTACCACACAGTCTCCCTGGCACTACCACCACAGTCTCCCTAACACCACCACAGTCTCCCTAGCAACACCACCACAGTCTCCCTAACACTACCACCACAGTCTCCGTAGCAACACCACCACAGTCTCCCTAACACTACCACCACAGTCTCCCTAACACTACCACCACAGTCTCCCTAGCACTACCACCACAGTCTCCCTAGCACTACCACCACAGTCTCCCTAGCACTACCACCACAGTCTCCCTAGCACTACCACCACAGTCTCCCTAGCAACACCACCACAGTCTCCCTAGCACTACCACCACAGTCTCCTAACTCTACCACCACAGTCTCCCCAACACTACCACCACAGTCTCCCTAACACTATCACCACAGTCTCCCTGGCACTACCACCACAATCTCCCTAACACTACCACCACAGTCTCCCTGGCACTACCACCACAGTCTCCCTGGCACTACCACCACAGTCTCCCTAACACTAACCACCACAGTCTCCCTAACACTACCACCACAGTCTCCCTGGCACTACCACCACAGTCTCCCTGGCACTACCACCACAGTCTCCCTAACACTACCACCACAGTCTCCCTAACACTACCACCACAGTCTCCCTAGCAACACCACCACAGTCTCCCTAACACTGCCACCACAGTCTCCCTATCACTACCACCACAGTCTCCCTAACACTACCACCACAGTCTCCCTAGCAACACCACCACAGTCTCCCTAACACTGCCACCACTGTCTCCCTAGCACTACCACCACAGTCTCCCTAACACTACCACCACAGTCTCCCTGGCACTACCACCACAGTCTCCCTAGCACTACCACCACAGTCTCCCTAACATTACCACACAGTCTCCCTGGCACTACCACCACAGTCTCCCTAACACTACCCACAGTCTCCCTAACACCACCACAGTCTCCCTAACACCACCACAGTCTCCCTAACACCACCACAGTCTCCCTAGCAACACCACCACAGTCTCCCTAACACTACCACACAGTCTCCCTAACACTACCACCACAGTCTCCCTAACACTACCACACAGTCTCCCTGGCACTACCACCACAGTCTCCCTAACACCACCACCACAGTCTCCCTAACACCACCACAGTCTCCCTAACACCACCACAGTCTCCCTAGCACTACCACCACAGTCTCCCTAACACTACCACACAGTCTCCCTGGCACTACCACCACAGTCTCCCTAACACACCACAGTCTCCCTAGCAACACCACCACAGTCTCCCTAACACTACCACCACAGTCTCCCTAACACTACCACCACAGTCTCCCTAACACTACCACCACAGTCTCCCTAACACTACCACCACAGTCTCCCTAGCACTACCACCACAGTCTCCCTAACACTACCACCACAGTCTCCCTAACACTACCACCACAGTCTCCCTAACACTACCACACAGTCTCCCTAGCAACACCACCACCGTCTCCCTATCACTACCACCACAGTCTCCCTAACACTACCACCACAGTCTCCCTAACACTACCACCACAGTCTCCCTAACACTACCACCACAGTCTCCCTGGCACTACCACCACAGTCTCCCAAACACTACCACCACAGTCTCCCTGGCACTACCACCACAGTCTCCCTGGCACTACCACCACAGTCTCCCTAACACTACCACCACAGTCTCCCTAACACTACCACCACAGTCTCCCTGGCACTACCACCCACAGTCTCCCTGGCACTACCACCACAGTCTCCTAACACTACCACCACAGTCTCCCTAACACTACCACCACAGTCTCCCTAGCAACACCACCACAGTCTCCCTAACACTGCCACCACAGTCTCCCTATCACTACCACCACAGTCTCCCTAACACTACCACCACAGTCTCCCTAGCAACACCACCACAGTCCTCCCTAACACTGCCACCACAGTCTCCCTAGCACTACCACCACAGTCTCCCTAACACTACCACCACAGTCTCCCTGGCACTACCACCACAGTCTCCCTGGCACTACCACCACAGTCTCCCTAACACTACCACCACAGTTTCCCTAACACTACCACCACAGTCTCCCTGGCACTACCACCACAGTCCTCCCTAACACTACCACCACAGTCTCCCTAACACTACCACCACAGTCTCCCTAGCAACACCACCACAGTCTCCCTAACACTGCCACCACAGTCTCCCTATCACTACCACCACAGTCTCCCTAACACTACCACCACAGTCTCCCTAGCAACACCACCACAGTCTCCCTAACACTACCCACACAGTCTCCCTGGCACTACCACCACAGTCTCCCTAACACCACCACAGTCTCCCTAGCAACACCACCACAGTCTCCCTAACACTACCACCACAGTCTCCCTAACACTACCACCACAGTCTCCCTGGCACTACCACCACAGTCTCCCTAACACTACCACCACAGTCTCCCTAGCACTACCACCACAGACTCCCAGGAACTACCACCACAGTCTCCCTAACACTACCACCACAGTCTCCCTAGCACTACCACCACAGTCTCCCTAGCAACACCACCACAGTCTCCCTAGCACTACCACCACAGTCTCCCTAACACTACCACCACAGTCTCCCTAACACTACCACCACAGTCTCCCTAACACTACCACCACAGTCTCCCTGGCACTACCACCACAGTCTCCCTAACACTACCACCACAGTCTCCCTGGCACTACCACCACAGTCTCCCTGGCACTACCACCACAGTCTCCCTAACACTACCACCACAGTCTCCCTAACACTACCACCACAGTCTCCCTGGCACTACCACCACAGTCTCCCTGGCACTACCACCACAGTCTCCCTAACACTACCACCACAGTCTCCCTAACACTACCACCACAGTCTCCCTAGCAACACCACCACAGTCTCCCTAACACTGCCACCACAGTCTCCCTATCACTACCACCACAGTCTCCCTAACACTACCACCACAGTCTCCCTAGCAACACCACCACAGTCTCCCTAACACTGCCACCACAGTCTCCCTAGCACTACCACCACAGTCTCCCTAACACTACCACCACAGTCTCCCTGGCACTACCACCACAGTCTCCCTAACACAACCACCACAGTCTCCCTAACACTACCACCACAGTCTCCCTGGCACTACCACCACAGTCTCCCTGGCACTACCACCACATTCTCCCTAACACTACCACCACAGTTTCCCTAACACTACCACCACAGTCTCCCTGGCACTACCACCACAGTCTCCCTAACACTACCACCACAGTCTCCCTAACACTACCACCACAGTCTCCCTAGCAACACCACCACAGTCTCCCTAACACTGCCACCACAGTCTCCCTATCACTACCACCACAGTCTCCCTAACACTACCACCACAGTCTCCCTAGCAACACCACCACAGTCTCCCTAACACTACCACCACAGTCTCCCTGGCACTACCACCACAGTCTCCCTAACACTACCACCACAGTCTCCCTGGCACTACCACCACAGTCTCCCTAACACTACCACCACAGTCTCCCTAACACTACCACCACAGTCTCCCTGGCACTACCACCACAGTCTCCCTGGCACTACCACCACAGTCTCCCTAACACTACCACCACAGTTTCCCTAACACTACCACCACAGTCTCCCTAGCAACACCACCACAGTCTCCCTAACACTGCCACCACAGTCCTCCCTAGCACTACCACCACAGTCTCCCTAACACTACCACCACAGTCTCCCTAGCACTACCACCACAGTCTCCCTAACACTACCACCACAGTCTCCCTGGCACTACCACCACAGTCTCCCTAACACTAACACTACCACCACAGTCTCCCTAACACTGCCACCACAGTCTCCCTAACACTACCACCACAGTCTCCCTAACACTACCACCACAGTCTCCCTAACACTACCACCACAGTCTCCCTAACACCACCACCACAGTCTCCCTGGCACTACCACCACAGTCTCCCTAACACTACCACCACAGTCTCCCTAACACTACCACCACAGTCTCCCTAACACCACCACCACAGTCTCCCTGGCACTACCACCACACAGTCTCCCTAGCACTACCACCACAGTCTCCCTAGCACTACCACCACAGTCTCCCTAGCACTACCACCACAGTCTCCCTAACACTACCACCACAGTCTCCCTAACACTACCACCACAGTCTCCCTAACACTACCACCACAGTCTCCCTGGCACTACCACCACAGTCTCCCTAGCACTACCACCACAGTCTCCCTAACACCACCACCACAGTCTCCCTGGCACTACCACCACAGTCTCCCTAACACTACCACCACAGTCTCCCTAGCACTACCACCACAGTCTCCCTAACACTACCACCACAGTCTCCCTGGCACTACCACCACAGTCTCCCTAACACCACCACCACAGTCTCCCTAGCACTACCACCACAGTCTCCCTAACACTACCACCACAGTCTCCCTGGCACTACCACCACAGTCTCCCTAACACTACCTCCCCAGCCTCCCTGTGTATGTTGTGGGAGAGTCTTGCCTCCTTGGTCATGTGTTCCTCTACTAAGTTGTTAATAATTCCTGTCTAGAGAACTTTTCATTTATCAATAACATATTTCTGACTATCCTTTGAAGATTTGTTCACTGATTAATATTTTGCATGTGGCCCAAAATATCCTTCTGTCTGAAACATTTTATTGTTATCCAATTTATAAATAATTTTCTTCGTATTTTTGGATTTTTGCGATCGTAAACTGTTATTTTATTAATATCATTTTTGCATCTTATAGAATATAAAGCAAGAATTTTTTCATCAAGTATGCATAAATTTTCTCTAGCTCACGTAAGTAACTTTATTTATTTCGTGAAGGTTAGATAGCAACGTTCTCAATGTTGTGGGTCCTTGCAGGTTATCGTTCACTTGTTCGAGTGGCGGTGGGATGACATAGCCGCTGAGTGCGAGAACTTCTTGGGGCCCAGAGGCTACGGCGGTGTTCAGGTAAACCTGTTGTTGTGTGGTGAGTGCATGGTAGGTCAGCTGGTGTGTAGTGTGTAGTATGTGTGGTGAGTGCATGGTAGGTAAACTGGTGTTGAGTGTGTAGTGTGTGGGGTGAGTGCATGGTAGGTAAGCTGGTGTTGAGTGTGTAGTGTGTGTGGGTGAGTAGGGGGATTGACGCCAGAAGCGATGCTGCCCACCAAGAACACCTGTTGTGACTGGCTCTCAACAGGTGTTCCAGGTGTAGAAGATAGCATCGTTTCTGGTGGGGGGGGGAGGGGGAGTGGAAAAGTGCTAAGCTCCGCCCTTGAGAGTGTGAGAGTGAAATGGGTGAGTGAGGGTCAATCAGCATCAAGCTCCTCCTCCCTTCATATGGGATGTGGACTCATATGTGAGTGATGGCCAATCATCATCAAACTCCTCCCTGATCTCCTTGAAGGATGAAGCCCCGTCCTATGTTATTTTGTCAGAATGTATTTAGCGTTGGGATGGGAAGTGTGGGAGAGGTATGAGCATTAGGTATGACCTTACACCTTCATAGATGTTAGAGTAGAACCACAGACAGAACAGAGAGAGAGAGAGAGGTAGTGGCAGAGAGGTGTGAGTTTTAGCATTGCCGGCGAGGTACTGAAGATGTACACCTTTCACATTCATAGATAAGAGAGAAGTCCACCACCATCACCAGTTAGACAGCCATCCAGACACTCAGCCAGACGGCAGTCAGCTACCCAGAGAGAGAGAGAGAGAGAGAGAGAGAGAGAGAGAGAGAGAGAGAGAGAGAGAGAGAGAGAGAGAGAGAGAGAGAGAGAGAGAGAGAGAGAGAGAGAGAGAGAGAGAGAGAGAGAGAGAGAGAGAGAGAGAGAGAGAGTTGGACCCAGACGTCATTACTGTGGTATCATTGATAACTGTCAGATTCTCAGTGATTTATGAGACACTTAATAGGCTTCTCCTCCCCCTGTGGAGATAATTGCTTAACGGTACTTATCTACATGTCAAATCACCTCGTTAGGAATGTGTTTGTCCTCCACCGCCGCCGTATCCACCTCCTGCTCGCTCTACACTTTAATTACATAGGGATTACGAAAAGTCTACACATATATATATATTTTTTTTCTTTATTTAACAGATAAACACAGTGCGAGTACAGTTTTTCCTATAAATTAATTGTAACAGATACCTCTCTCAATAGCACGTCAAACAAACATCACAGCGGAGTGGGTGACTTTCTTGATCACCACTCCATCTGTCTGCTGGGTCTGCATGTTGAACAGTGAAATATCACACTGCAGTTATCAGTGTCACGTGGGGGTGGGCGGTCCGGGGCTCTGCTAACACTTAACTGCTAGGGGCTCAAAAGGCCCAAATACTCAGCCCCTCCGACTCCCTGGATTGACCGGAGTCTCCTTGGTCACACAAGACAGGACCAACAATGCCCACCTCCGCAGGTCTTTGCTTCCACCACAAAGGGGTGCCACTGATTCACCCTGGAAGCCCTTCAGTCAAACACGGGGAAACTGCTGTTAACAGTTCCGGCCTAGACCCGTGGGGGAGTGAAGGAAGACTCAGGCTTACCTATAACCATAACCTCCCTGAGTCTTGCCTGCCAGACAAAAAAAAGTTTGCAGGAACTCCTTTCCCACCTGTCTTCTCTATCTTCCTCTTAGCAAGGTCGCCAGCTGGGTTATTATATCTGCACCCCAGCAATGCAGTTCAGTGGGTGTATTATATATTGTTTGTAGCCAGAAATGTATGCTCATAGAGAAATATCATAAATGGAGGCACACTCAAACACAGTAATAAAATGTGTGGATTTACTGATGCAAATTACATAAACACACACACACAATCACAAGTAATACATGAATATGGAATATGAATAATGAGTCTGGAGATCGTCAGCCTCTTCTTCCACGACCATCCAACACTCCTTCAACTGGGCAGGAAGACAGGAGTCTCACACTCTCACAGGAGGGCCTCTTCACCACGTCGGCACCTCTTCTTCACTGTCCTGCCATCCATACACACTGTCCTCTCTGACAGTCCTGGACTCAAGCTGCCTTGCAGCCTATTCTACTATTAAAGTAATCAAGTCTTGCTGCCACATACACAAGTAAATATTGTGGCCTAACTAGCCTACTCATACAAGGGGTAATGGGAGGGAAAATGATCTACCTTACATTCCTGGCTCACGACGCCTGTCCCTCGATGGTGTGAGGTTCCCACGCTTCCTTGGGTCGATCCTCGACGATCCAGGACGTTCCACAGGTCCTCAGGTGTCGTGAAGCCTTTGCGTCGTCGCCGTTCCAATCCCTGAGATTCAGCTGCCCCAATCCTGGTTCATCGATGGGCGCTGAGCTAATCACTATTTTTCCCCACACTCGCCTCTCCCACAAGGCGTTGCTCCTTGTCCTAGGCACGGTGTCGTCCTTCCAAGATTCTCAGTGGATGTGACCCCAGTCACAGCTAGGCCTGCCCGCCCACCTTCCAGACCTCAACGTCCAGCCAGCGGCGCCGCCCAGCGTCGTCGCCGACTATTTTCCAAGTTTGGCACTTCTCTGCTCAATGAACTTGGTTCCTCTTTTGCTTCCCAGAAGCGCAGGGTCTCCAATAACTATGGTGGGCTGCGACGGCTAGTTCAATCCACTGAATAAGGCTTGCAGAGCCTCCAATCCTTGAGAGCAGACCGAGGCGCGTCCTGTCGCTTCCAAGGTCAGAACAACTCTGACGTTGGCGCCGCCCGGGGCACTCGGTGACGTCATGGCGGGCCCTGATTTGTCGCCCGCGACCTACGTCGGCCAATCCGCGATCGGCTAATGTCCCTTCCAAAAGGTCATATCTGCCATAGGGGATACTGTTTCATTTTATAACAGGGCGCCAATTTTCCTTTATTTACAACTTATAATATAACTTCCTTCCCTTAACTGACAGCCGGTCTGGTCGCCACATATATCATTAGACTCCCTGAACCTCAGAGAATCCGTAGGGAGAGCTGATATGACTCTTTAAGCCGGCAAACGAAAGAAATAGGAGAGGGCACCGTAACATAACCCTCCCCTTAAAATAAGAGTCATATCGGAAGAGCAGCACTCAAGAGGGCAATCTATACTCTTGCTCCCTCCGTTCCTGAAGTGTCACTCCTCCAGTTGGTGACGTGGCTCGTACCACCTTGCCAGTCACTTGCCTCATTGTATCTCCACCTCGCATAGTACCGGGTGTGATGGGTGTTCCCTGAACACCTACAAGAAATCCCCTCTCCGTGGCTACGAGTGTACTCCCACGGCTCGTTACCACTGTAAGATTCAGTGCATGCAGCGCCTCCACCGCGTCGTGCACTCCGAGATAGTCTTGCATTTCCACTGCGTCCTACAGGTACTCCATGTTTCCTCTCATGATCTCCTCTTCGCCAATCTTCTCTCTTCTCGGTTCCTCTTCTCCCGTAGGTGCGTTGTCTCCTCACAGTGGCACTTGTAACCTGTACTCCATCCAGCAGCTTTCTCTCTTCCACACTAGGCTTTTGCGATGGCCCAATGCCCCTCTGGTTAGGCCGGCGCCTACCCTGGGTGTACCTATTCCCTGCTTTCTTCGTATTGCCTTTCCTATACCATTCGCTCCTTCGTTCCCAACGAACATCTTCACTCCTCCAGGAGATTCTCTTCCCTGCAGACATCTTCTTCGGTTCGTGGTCGGGCTCATCCACCTCCCCGTGGCTCACCTCACCACGGTGGTTCATCTTGCACCTACCACTATTCATCTGGCCGGCATAGGGTGCACTGCGTCGTGGCTCCTCCACTCTGCCCCTCACTGCCGTTCGCTCATCCACTGAGCTTACTTTATTCACGTTTCTGTATGGAGGGAGTGCGGTCTACAGCCTCTTCACCGCCCCAGGCGTTTGTACAGCTGCTCCTCGCCACTCCTCCACACGCATCATCAGGCTTAGTCGGAGGTCCCCGTCGGGGTTTTCCACAACCTCCGATGACCTCTCTGCACTCTCGCCCTCGTTGTCGTCGTCTCTGGCGACGTTTCCCCTGGCGAAGTCGGCTTCCTCTCTATCATCTGGAACGACCGATACCTCACCCGGCAGGGTTGTACCGCTGCTTGCAACATGGCACTCCTGGCCCAATCGGGTTGTATCCTGCCTCCTCCGAGGTCTTTACCCAGCACCATCTGTACATGCTCTAGGGGTAACTTAGGGGCTACAGCTACTATAGCTTTCTCGACTCTGCAGTCGGCAATCAGCTGTACTTCGTGAAGTGGCAACCTGTATTCCTCCCCCACACTGCGTATCCTCACCACTCCCACAGGTGAATCATTAAATTCTTTGGGGAGAATACTCCTGGTTACCATACTTATGTCAGCACCCGTATCTCGAAGAACGGCCACCTCCACTGGGTCTGACTTTCCAAACTTCACGTTGGCCTCGAAAACGAAGGGATGTTCACCCAACTTCATTTCCCAACCATTCACGTTGGGTCCACCATAATATGGGGTGTGAACAAACACTCTCCTCTTCCAACATTAATCCTACATTCCTTTGGTGCTCCTCACACTCGCGGTATAATGTCCTCTCACACCACAGTTGTAGCATCGGCCACCTCCCCTGGGCGGCCACTCGCTAGTCACTCTGGCGGTACCACTTGCAGACGTCCCCTGGGTCCTCCTTGGACTCCCTGTCGTCGTATCCGGGACTGCAGCACTCGCTCCCGAGTTAGGTCCACTGCTCACAGATTGGGGCTTCCTCCCCGCGTCTCTTGAGCTCTTGAACCGCGTCACTTCATCGGGCACACTACTCATGGGAGAGTCCCCACTCGTCCTCGCTCCTCCTGAACTCCTAAGGTTCCCTCCCGACCTGGGGTAAGGCGAGTGTCTGGGCGGCCCCTCCCTCCTGATATGTAGCGCCTCCTCCAGCATGTCGGCTCGATCCGCTGCAGCCTTCAGGTCCTTAATACCTGCTTCTCTCAACCTTACTCGCAACTCAGGATGGAGCACTGACATAAACTTCTCCA